GAGGTCCCTTCCAACCCCTACAATTCTGTGATTCGCTGATACAGACCCCTGAGGGACAGCATTTGTCACCAATTTTCATCTGGACATTGAGCCACTGACCACTACTCTCTGGATGCGATCATCCAACCAATTCCTCATCCACCAAATAGTCCAACCATCAAATCCATATCTCTCCAATTTAGAGAAAGGGATATTGGGGAGGACTGTGTCAAAGGCCCTACAGAAGTCCAGATAGATGACATCCATAGTGTTTCCCTTGTCCACTGATGCAGTCACTCCATCATATAAGGCCGCTAGGTTGGTCAGGCAGGACTTGCTCTTGGTGAAGCCATGCCGGCGGTCTCAAATTGCCTCCCTGTCCTCCATGTGCCTTAGTATAGCTTCTAGGGGGATCTGTTCCATGATCTTTCTAGGTACAGGGGTGAGGCTGACAGGTCAGTAGTTCCCAGGAAACTCCTTTCCATCCTTTTTAAAAATGGGCGCAATGTTTCCCATTTTCAAGTCACCAGCGACTTCACCTGACTATCATGACTTTTCAAATACCAAGGAGAGTGGCTTGGCAACCACATCAGTCAAGAGGTGTGCCCTGTTGACTCTTAGGAAAGATCAGACCAGACACCTCCAATAGTCTGGGAACAAACCTAGTATGGGGACTGATCACCATCTTCATTCTGTAGCATACTGCATAAGAAAGGTCTGCCCAGAAGCTTGACATTTGCTGACTTAACAGAAAACTGAAAGGGCAATTTTGTGAGCAAAGCAGTGTGAACAGCATTCTGAGGCTCGCTTCAGGTTTGTCAGCACTGAGAACACACTCTGATTTCTTCTCATGCCTTTAATTGCTGTCATTAAATGTGCCAAACGATACAATACTCAGCTAAGCAGTGGCTTACAACAGTGAATTACACATGATTACTCGGTGCCTGACACTGAGTGTTTGTTTCCCACCTGACAGCTCTGGTGATTTAAGACTTATACTATCAATGAGGTCTGCTCCAATACTTGATGATTTAACTCTGCTAAGATAATGCATAGCTATCCTCTCCAAGAATAAACAGAAATTCAAACCTGACATTTATTCAGGACCTCAATTTAAGGTGTCAGGCCTTATTACAGATTCAGTTTTCTGATTGCTTGCCATATACTACTTCTACTCCCAACTATGGTTCAAAGGCTCTAAGAACAAATATGTTTCTTCAGCCTCTTACTGTAATTATGCAGTCTGAACTTTTCTGGGTCTTTTGACACTCCCTAGAATGCAAAAGCCATCTCATCTCCTTGTTGACAGGTCTTCCAGCAGGCGCTGTTGGGTCATCTCACTGTATTTTCTATCTATGACATACAAGCACCTACACATCCACCACAGTGCCCAAGATCTAGTTTGTTGTAACTGTATAACTGACTTGTCTGCATTTTTTCCTGGATCCAAATGCATGCAATATCTTACTTGTCTACCTTGCTGCAGCGCTTTTTTTATCTCATTCATTAAAAGAGATGCAACAGTAATAACCATGTTATTATCAGCATACTGTTTCCCTATTAACATACATGATACTGTGATAATTGAGACAACGCTGGCTTTAAAAACTATTTTGTGCATTATAAGCAGCATACATAAGCAGCCTGTACATAAAATCCAATGAAGACTTGGCTTGAAATTAGAAGCTAAGGTTAACCTTAGTTATAGAATCATTTAGGTTGGAAAAGACCCTTAAGATCATCAAGTCCAACTGTAACCTAACACTGCCAAGTCCATCATTAAACCATGCCCTAAGCACCACATCTACAAATGTTGTATAGTGGATTCTCCACAGTGAAAGTAGTATATGCTTATCTGATAGGTATTTATAAAACAAATATCCATATTATTTGGGCACTGACAACAGTAAAATGAGACAGAAGACTGCGATAGAACCATTATAATGGTTCTATACACACACACACACAAGTTAGTACTTTCAGGTTTGGTGAAAGTATTTTGATTATATACATACGTACAAGCATTATACTGGCCTTTCATATGCAGAGATGAAAACGAAATGATAAATATGCTTATGTCTCTTACAATATGTATGCTTCTGTCTCTTACCATTAACTTTTTCAAACCAACACTAAACTGTAATACAGCTATATAGCAAGTGATTAGTATACAGTGGTATGGTGAAGGGGGACCGGCAGTGGAGGGGAAACCTCACAAATCGGAGGCACCTAGACTTTTCCATACCTCTTGTTTCTGTTGTCTATCACTCAAAAACTGCTTGAAATACCAGTCACAATTTTCTCGTAGCAATCCTCGGAGTCCCAGGGCTGGCGTTGCCAAAGCTTCATACAGTGCTAGTGCATCTCCTCGTTCCAGTGCTAGGTCAATCTTTGATATGGCTGCATGTGCTACAAATAGCAAAGCAGAGTTTTGAAAGAAACATCAAATAAGGAAGTCTCATGATTTATATAACCTACGTCTCAGAAAGAAACTCTCTTAGACCTAATAGACAGCAAGTTAGGTATGTAATCCAAATGGAAGACTTCCAAAGTCAATTGCAAAGTAGTACTTGAAAAAAGAGGCTGAAGGTTGGAAATAGTATGCATCACTCAAGGTGAAGAATTGGGGGGCCAGTGATATGGACAACTCATTTCCTAAAGGAAGGGTAACAGAAGTCAAAATTAATTCAGTTTACAACTATGTACTAATAATGAAAGAAAAAAAACCCAAACCAAAACAAAAAACACCACATCACCAAAAGAATCCCAGAAATACAGGGGAGCTACATTCCATCTTTGTTAGCATTACAGAAAGCAAAGAAGAGCACAGGTATTGTTTTTAAGTACTCTTTTAATTAAGACTATTACTTTAGTGTGACACTTACTGTTTACTTTATTGATGTTTCCTTGAATCTCAGCTTGAGTCAGAAGTTCTTCATACACATCTCTCTCTCTTTCTGAATTTTCTGAGGCAATCTGAAGATGAAGTAAAAAACTAATGAGTGTTTCTACAGTATCCTTTGCCATCAAAGATCTTCTCATTAAAAAGGTCAGGGAGGATATCTGTTTATCTACATAGTGTTCTGATAGGCCATAGATAGGCTACCACTACACATGCAAAAAGAAGCCCTAGAAGTAAATACATACAAGTAAGCATACTCACACTGACACAGACAGACTAGAAACAAACACCTTATTTCAGTAATAGCTCCAGATGAACACAAAGTGTTGCTCCCGAACATAGAAAGCAGTACACATAGCTGGGTATTTGATATACAGCACTCTAAAACAACGCAGACCCTTTCTGAGAGCATCATCAAGTTTTGCTCACCATTTCATTGTTAGGAAAATGTATCTATATTGTATGAAAATAGAGAGAACATTCTCAACATATAAAGGCTAACATGAATCCTGTGTCTATGTGGTGCATATTTCAGACAGCTAAACAGAGTAATGCAGCTACCTGCTACCTGTCTTCTACGATAGGAAGACAGGTTACTAGGGAACATATTAGAATACCACCAGAAGTAAATCCATTTAACACTACACAGACAGGACCATAACACACATTCTATTAATTCCCCCCAGTTTACACCGCAATACAAAATTGCAATGCATGCAAATAGATGGTTTGAAAGGAGAATTGATCTACCCTGTTTTTAGCATTCTCCATCTTGTCTTGCTTTGCTCTGTAGAGTGTGTCTTGGTAAGTGGATTCCAGTTGATCATCAAGATTTATTAGCATGGCATTAGGGTTCTTCATTGCCATAAGAGTGTCAGCTGGAACCTGATGGTCAATTGCTTCATTAATGGCAATGACAGCGGCATGTACTGAAAAACAAGTCAGAGTCTGCCAGTTAGTCCCAAACACAACAGTTCTGTTAAAAATTGAAAACTTAACTGGAAAGAGTAGAAGAATTATCTGGAAAATAAACAAATCACCAAAGTACCTCTCATTCCATCAAGGCTTTGTGTTCTTGACAAAAAATGTCAGTCTACTTCCTAGTACAATACTCTACCTAGTCAAATCATCATGTTCCAGAAAGAGAAAAAAAAAAAAAGTTACACAAGGGAAAGAAGAAAACCCTCTTCTCAGTCTTCCAAAAGGCCTACTAAAAGGATTGTACTGTCTTACAACAGGAGACATTAAAACCAACACTTTAAAAAAAATAAATCTAATTGCTCATTTGAATAATCACATAAAACAAAACTCAATTTTTTCTTACATGCTGCTTCATCCACAGAAAGTTCATTTGCAAGAATTCCTCCGATCTTGCTGAAGGCAGGCATCTGAATACCATACTTCTCCAGTTCAAGTCTCATATTACTGATTTCTTCCTCTGAAACATACACAAAAACAGTGTTATGCAGGCTTAAACACATTAGGAATCAGCACTGCTATACCAACTGTGGCTACAAAGAAGTTTAGGATAACTACAATAAATTACAATCGCTGTTTAAATAACACTTTGAATATAACTCAGTAAATGAAACAAAATAAATGAAAACAGATAGGCATTTTGCACACTTTCCTAAAACCTACATTTCTCCCAGAAACTCATACGGAAATATTCTACAGTCTTTCTCACTAGAAAACAACACATGACTCATGAGGAGCTGCAAACAGACTCCATCGTTCTGAGGTGCTGCAACCATGGCTGTCAACAGGTCAGGAAAATGCACAGACAGTATTTTAGCATTCTTCTTTCCCCACAGAGAGACTATGCTAAGAAAAGCAAATGGAAGATATCTAAACATGCTATTGCTAAACATAGCATTTTATCAGTACAGTCAACAACTGTTTTGCAGGAAAATAAAGTTTATACACCTTTTAAATCAGATGCGCACCCTCAGGCAGGAATTTCCCTGATGTAAAACACAGAATTTGACACTTTTGCAAAAATCAAGGAACTGAAACCTTGAGAGGCTTGTGGACACGGGACTTTGTGCTGGAATCTCCTGCAGCAGATGAGCTGGCAAACTCTTCTTCAGTTGATGGCACCTCTACTTCAAATTGTCAAGGGAGGTCAGAACTGTTTACAAAGTTCCAAATTGAAATCTCTCCCAAGGAGATGGAGGCAAGGTTTAAGCATCTTACAACAGTGGCAAAAAAAGTTAAGGGGTTCTGATTTATGAAAGTAATGATCGGTGAACCAATGGCTATTTAAAAGCCTTGCTCAGAAGCACTCAAATCAAACCTTCTTTTTAAATTATTATAACTCCTCACAGCCATTAATTTTTAATTGAATTTGCATTTAGGATATCAACAGTAACAATCCTTTAAGTGATCTATACAATATCTAGTAGAGTATGAGATAAAGGCAGTACACATATCAACTTTTTTTTTTTTTTTTTTTTACCTGTGAAGTCCACCTTCCCATATAAATCCTGAATCTGGGGGGCAAGACCCAATTTGAACAGGTATAGGCTAGAAAAGAAAATAAGCAAATAACTAGAAGTAGTAATTTTTCCTTGTGGTTCTGATAATGAGACAGTTAATTTTAGGAGATTTAGATTCAAGGAGCCACTCAGGTAAGCTATCACAAAGCTGCCAATGAGGGAAGAACTTTGCCATAACATAAACAAAAAGAAGCATTGGTCTTGATAGTGGCAGTGTACTCCACCACAGGTCTACTCCTTACTGCTCTATAAACTCCAAATGACGCATTCTACAGAGATTACTATTTTTAGATCTAAAGCTGTAATCAAGCTCACTTCTATAAATAATAATTTCATCTACGGCAATGTGAAATATCAGATAACATTCAGATAAATGCAGTCCATCTCTTCACACTGGCAACAGATCAGAGAGCAGAATAAGCCATTCTTGAGAATGGAAACTGAGCAAGCAACAAATGAAGACCCAAATGTATACAATCCAGCATTCAACTACCTAGTAAATTCTACAAAAGGAAACCTTTTTTAAAAAAAAAAAATCTCAACATGTTCCAAAAGCCACACTTCCATTCAAACCAGCCAACTGGGGGAGGAGGGGGGAAAACAAACAAAAAACCCAAAAAAACCCAAAATCAAAGATACATGCAATGTACCATCCTGTCAAATTGAAGAGCAAAGTATCAACAAATGAATCCTCCTAGATTTTTCAAGAACAGAGATTATCCTACTCAGTCTATGTGAGATTTTAAAATGTAAGAGACCTTTCAACAACAGGTCCTGTTTGATCACTTACTGTGGTCATCAAGATACACATACTGCAGTACAATGCTGTGACTATGCTGGTTTTCATTCAGTGATCTGACTCAACCCTAGATAAACTAGTATTTTCCCTTCTCACAAACACATTTTAGGGCTTCATGATTTCCTTTAAGCCCCAAAACCTTTAGCTCTGCCTCAGAGAGTAGAGAGGGAGGGTGAGAACTGGGATGGGAAGCCAATAATCACAACATACTTGACTGGTTCTTTTTCCTTCAGCATCTGATTTGGCCACTTCCCAAAAGCAAAATACTGGCTTCATGGATCTTTGCTCTGACCTGCTAAGACTGTTCTGCTAGAAAATGCATCCTCATCCAGCCTTCAGTTCAGCTCTCTCCCCTCTTGCCTTTCAGCTTTGCAAATATTTCAGAAGCAACTAGATTTCTGCCTAGCACACCTTACCTGAGCGCGTGAATACAATAGATACAGCGTGGCATGTTCTTGCGATCATAGATATCTGTAGTTTCTGGGTAGAATATCTAAAGATAAAACAAAGTTAGCCATCTGAATGATACCCACTCTATACAGCCAAATCACAGAACTGTGATAAGCCTAATTCGTCTGCAGTACGCTAACGAAACAGCCCACAGAACAAAACTCTTTGAGCTGCTCTACCCTGCCTCAATATTTCTCCTACTTGAAAAGACAATCCTTCTTTTTGTTTCTGCCACTCAAACCATGGGTCCCCTTTTCCTGCCCACATTCTACACCCTTTCTTTTGTGGGTCCACCAAGATACTGGGTCATGAGGTATTAGTGAGAACTTCGGTGAAAGCCACGAGAATAAAAAAATGCAAAGCTCTTCAAAGTTTAATGCAAGGGGCTAATACTGGAGGTGTCAATTCATTCAGAAGTGCTGACAGGGTACGTTACTTCCTAGCTATTGGGAGGTTCCTTGCTGTTGCCTATGAGCACAAAACAGTATTGCCCTTTCTGTAAAGGCAAGAGCAACTGAAGGACCCTCACAACTCCACAGTATTAGTTCTCTGCCTCTTCTGCATGGGAAAATAAAGCATCAGTATCTCTCTATCAATGTACTGGATCCTGGCCCAATTTCTTTAACATCTCCTTGCACATTTATTTCTCCCGTATACATCTGAAAATCTTGCTTCATACCTCGCCCTTAACATATCTCCATCTAGCTCCCTTGTTTATTTTTATCTAACAACTCAACAGCATATTTCAGTATTTCCCAATCCCCACTTTGTTCCCGTAAGATCATCATAAATCCCAGCAAGGCTCAACTAGTAAATCTCAACAAGTTATTTGAAAAACTTTGTCAAAAATAAAACATTCAATTTGCAAGCACGTACCCAACTAAAACACACACCAGAACAAACCACACAATGCTAGTTTTGGTAAGATTAACCATAACACTGTTTAAAATAAAAGCAAACAAAAAAATGACTTTAAAATAAATTTACTTATTATTCATGTATGCAATTTAACTATCAGCACAACACTACCACAGATACATATATTTTCAGGTAACAACAGTTTTTATCTCAGAGGAGTTTAGCTGGTCATTCCCCAAGCGAAGCCAATAATTTATATTTGATTAAGCTAGACCAGGAACATTTCAACCTCACGTGAAAATTTCGTGAAGAAATCTGAAGAAATGGAGAACACAGTATTTTCTGTTGCACTGCTTTTTTAATACAGATTTCTAAAAAGTCTTCCACAATCAAACTGTAGCTTAGACGCTGCTCAAAATAATGCATAGCAAGAACAACATAATGCAGATGTTATGCCAGATCAGCGATACTAAGGATATGGTACTGAAGGAGGAATTATTTTGCTCCTAATCATTCTCACACACATAGCAGAATGAAATCTTTCAGCAAGTTTTAGGACAGAATTTATACAGGTACCCAAATCTAGAAAATGAGGAATTAACTAGATAAAATCTGCTGACTTTTGTACAACAGCAAATGCTTCTATGGAATGTCAAGCTTTTCTGAGATTATATATCTGCACATATAACACAGAAATTACCTTGGGGAGACCAATCTCAGCCATGGCATTCAGCCACTGTATTACATTATCTGTGTGCCGGAAGTGGAGACCAGTTGCCTGAAATAAAAATAGGCAGGAACAAGGCAGCAGGCAGTAAGAAAAAAAGTATCACAGCTGTCAACAATAGCAGAGAGGTTCATTAAGACAGATAGTGAAAGTACTCTTCAGAAAAGAAGTCAGAAATCTTCTATATACAATCATATTGTTTATGACAAGCGCTTTCACATGAGTGCAAACTCAGATATAAAGCTAAGAGTCCATCCTCCCTCACTTAACCAATGTTCTAGAGTGAAGGTGGAGTTTTTCAGGTAATACTAATATAAGCTAACTTTCGGCTTATTTGCTCACAGGACCTCTGTGTGCACATTTTCCTATTTTAGATGTCTACCTAAAGCAGTATCTATGGCAAACAGCTCTCACCTTATATCTAGTCTGCTCCCTATCATAGATTTTCTTCACAGAAACCACTTTAGGGGAGAAGAAGTTTCCAAGTTTGGCCAGGTAGACTCCATTTCTCAGTCCTTCTTCTAACTCTGTTGTAGGAGGCAGCTCCTCATTCAGACAGGCCTCCATCCATCTGAAAGTGCAAAAAGAACAGAGCTGGCCACATAAGTATATTTCCAATTTGTAAACACAATCTTGTAAAAACAAGTTTCATGCTGCTACTGCTATCCTATTCTAGCATTCTACCTATTCAGCATTAGGGGCTGAAAGTGCGCATAGCACTACCACACAATCTGTGTCATTAAAATGCTAACGCTCCAGACAAAATACTAAGGAGAAGCATGAAGTCCAGTAGCCAGTTTCACAAGTAATTAAGATACCACCTCACCATCGTGTTTCTCCTTCAGCCCATAATTTATCTGGTACTGGTCTAGACATAGTGGCCCACCTTTCCTTTTAACTAACTTAAATCTTCCTCTTTAGTACCTTGAGAAGGCTTATCTCACAAGCATTTATCTACTCTCATTAAGTATTCACTAGTTATTTTATGACTTTGTACCACTTCTTCAAGCTCTTTTAGCTGATCTCATAGAAAGGCCCTACAATCACCTGCCTTCCTGACCTATATATTCTCTCCCACTATACATTTCAAAAACAGGGGGAAAAACTGAAACAGGCATTCCTCTCCTTGTAACAACCGATTTTTCCTTACCTTGTTTCCTTCCATCTCATTTAATGGAGCCACGGATCATCATGACAAAAGCAAAGATTATCACAGCAAATAATTCGAAAAGTCACTGTTCTCAAAACAGAGATGCACCTTGACATTTCTTCTGTACAGAGCAAAACGAGGACAGAACTCAAAGTTTAAAGCTGTAAGACCTAATGTTATTGTGGGGTATACACAAAGGGGAACAGTAAAGTCCAGCACTACTATTCTTTTGTATATGACATTGGTGAGACTAACCTTGTCACTGCGGTCTGCATTTTTTCAAACTAGAGAGCAGGAATAAGATAGGAAAGACGTTTTTGATTAGCCAAGATACTACTTCACAGTGAGAAGCCCAAAACATGCAGTGCATTCAATCGGTTGAAATAAAGTCTGAGATGCAGATTGGTGTTCAGACAGTCCTTTGGTAGCAGACTGAAATCAGATGACTGAAACTGTAGTCACTGACATCAGCCTGCTCCGTCTTTTTTGATAAATAGCACCAAATCTAAGGCAGGAGCAGATAAACTACACACGAATCAGCTTCTGAGCCACCAATTTTCAGCCCAGCATGCAAGGCTCAATGGACAGAGCTAAAAATTATTTAACTTGCAATACCCAAGATGATAGAATAAGTGATCGTTCTTTCTGACCTTAACAAGAAAATAACATGTGATTATTTCTTTAAAGTAATTTGATCTCAAATACAGAACACTGTATCAGTAGTACACGACAGATGAGATGTATTCAAATTCACCACGGCCAGTTTTTAATCTCTCCTGAGAAGACAGTAAGCTGCATTTCTAATTATAGAAGACAGATAGTTACTAGTGAAAATGAAAAAATCTCATAGGCTGCAATATTTTAACAGTCAAAGAAAAGATAACTTTGACTAGTGCAGATATACACTCTTAGGCAATCTTCTTAACTTTCTTGACTGCATTCAGTTTTAAGAATCTCTAGGGTTTACTTTTTTAACATACCAGAGCTAGTATGTTACTCAAGCACAGCTCCTCTATTTACATGTCTGTTAGCATGAACAGAATGCTTGCTAAAACATACATTTCAGATGATGTACATTTTCACTACTCAAAAGTCAAGGGGAATGCCAGTCAAGTTCTCATGTCTGAATCTATTACTTCTCCATCCCTCTCTACTTGAAATGTTAGTATACAATGCAGTCTCACAGTACAGAAAGTGCCTTTTAAGATAAACAAGCCAGTGTTCTTAAAACAACAAAAAGATCTTAAAACAACAAAGCAGTGCTTTTTTCTTTGCTCTAATTCTGTATTTGCTTAAAGGCACAATTCAAACACATCTATTTAGCTCAAGGTGCCACTAATCTTCAGATGGCCTTTTCCTATCACCACAAGTTAAAATCCACAGTAGCGATTCCAATGCCTCACGCAAGAGCATCTAAAATTTGACTGTAGAGCAAATACAGCATAACGTCCTCAAATTTTTAATTCATCCCTCTTGCACCTCCGTTTCAGTATTTTTTAAAACTATCTAATCCCTGATGCTGTTTTCCTGTTTATGGATTCTGCAGCAGACAATTACGCTTACAGCCTCACTATTGAAAGAATACTCACAATTCAAGAGAGGTTTTACAAACAGCTTGACTTCACCCCTGTTTCTTTGGTTATTCAGATTATTTGCAGTATCTTCATTCCTCTCCAGGTAACGCAGAACAATGTGAAGAAAAAACTCACTAACATTTCATAGCTGCTCATAAAGTACCTACAATCGGCCACTGTGACCATCCCCAAACATCAGTTCTACTGATTCTTACATCTGAATGCAAACAACTACTCAATTTTAAGAGCCATCCCCTTTGCCCAGGAAAGCCTTTTCCTCACATGTGGCTTCTCTACAGGTCCAAGCAGCAGAGGTGATACCTTTGAAAAGTTAACACAAGCAAGTAAAAGATGCCATGGAAGGAGGGGGACGAGAAAAGGGAAATGATATTTCTCAGGAACTAGTGCTCACAAAAATCAACAGCGAGAAACAGTTTTATGTTCCTTCTGACAGCCCGCCCACAACAGGGAGTGGTTCTCTGCAGGGAACAGGCACACACCAGATTCTTCCAGCTTCTGCCGGCTCCTCATTCTCCAGCCATCTCGCTCACTTCTAGCCTTTCCTAACCTCCAAAACTAGAATAAGTTTCCTAACTAACATCTCACAAAACTCGTACAACATGACAACTGTAGCCTCTGCTCAGAACGCCCAGAGTACAAAGGCTCTGGGTGCAGAAACTTTCAATCAGCAAACAAGTAGCTGGTTGGAATGGCCAAGACAGACTTCACACAAACATGGCTAGGCCCTAGCACTGCTGAAGTGTTACTTGAAATGGGACACTGCAATACTACATGGGGGGTGCAGAGGGAGAAAAATTTCCCCTCCCTCCAGAGTGGGTACTCTGCAGAAGTCAAGAAGTATCCTTTCATGTTCTGGAGAAGCACCTAAAACACTATTTGGAAAGGTACAGAAAAATGACATTTCCAATGCTGAAGTCACACACTCTTTGTGTGTGACTTGAGGATTGGAAATGTCATTTTTAACTTTTATAAAAAGCTGCGAGAAGTCAGAGGACTGATTTATGTGCCCTTTGATAGCACCTGACTAACTGGAAATTATAATTAGTCTCATTGCATGGTTTATTCATAGAATCCCAGAACAGCCCAAGCTGGAAGGGACCTCAAAAGATCATGGGAAAGGGAGCCTAAATGAGATTATCTAGCACCCTGTCCAGTCAGGTCTTGAAAACCTCCAGCGATGGGAACTCTACCACATCCCTGGGGAGGTTGTTACAGTGGTCCCCATGTGGCTCCTTGTGGAGAGAGAGCCTCTGTCCTCTTTGTAGCCACCCCTTAAGTACTAGAAAACTGTGACAAGGTCCCTCCGAGCCTTCTCTTCCGGGGTGAAAAGACCCAACTCCCTCAGTGTTTCCTCATAGGCAGGTTCTCCAGCAGTTTGACCATCTTCGTGACCCTACTCTGGACCCTCTCTTCACACATGAGAAAGTCACCAGTTAGCCACCAAACACCATATGATGCGCAGCCATGTTCTCCCCCATCTCTTCTTTGAGCTCCTTGTCATCTAACTTGGGAAAACAACAGGAAGACTGTTTATGCAAAGCCTGTAAGGTACAGAAAACAAATACAACCCAATTGGTTGTATGTATGTATGGTTGATTTGATGATCTTAAAGGTCTTTTCCAACCAAAACTATCCTGATTCTATTCTATTCTATGACATGTTAAGGGAGTAAGGAACTGAGGGAAGTACAAGTTACAGAAAGTAACCAGTTTGACAAGTTTTGACAGGAGTTCCAGTATTCACTGTGAACAGCTTACAAATTTTATGCAGTAAAGGGATGGGAGTGCAGAAGACATCAACTCAAGACACATACAAGTCATAGATGGCAGGGTTTACATGTCAGAAGAGTTGCAAATAAGATATAAATCAAAATACCCCGTATTAAAGAAGCTTCCATAAGGCAAAGGATGCTCAGTCGCTCCAGTCCAAGTGAAAACAGTATTAAACAACCTCAGAAAGTCTCATGGACCCTACAGTTAGTACTTCAGGTATAGTGTACTTAAACAGAAAGTAACAATTTTGAAGTTAAAAAAGTATATATAGGAAGTTGCTAATTTGAGCCTAGTTTAGCCTGGAAAGCATTAGCTTCCCTGCAAGCTTCTTAACAGTCTCCTATACTAAGAGACTCAGTATCACACTTTCCTTTCTAATGTGACATAAATAGTGTTTTGTGACTTAGACTCTCATATTTCCTCAGGTTACTTTTATAAGTAGGAATGCAAACACTCTCCTAAAGAGATTAAAAATCAAGCTGGTCGCCATAGCTTCTTGAACAAAATGTCCTCAAAGAAGCCTCTACTGCAAATGAAGAATTGTGGATCACAGACTGTTAAACTGGGAAAGAACTTTAAATCCCAAATGATACATCATTACACTGTGGAGTGCAGCCTGAGCCCAAGAAAAGAGGGGCTCGTAATCCAAAGCAGGACAGAGAGCCTAGAAAAGCAACAAGGAATAGTGTTTACCAGGAAGAAAATGTTTCTGGGAACACCTGGCCAACTTCTGTACATGAGCTACAAAAACAAACTCATTCTTTTACAAGCTACTATTTTCCTGGGTTTCGCTGCTTTCCTCTCAAAAAACCTTAGTTCTTCTTAAACTTCTTTAAGGTCTAGAAAAATGCAGATAGCAACTGAAGGAGTGATAGAGAAAACATGACATAAGTTTCAGAATTCTGGATCATTATCCAAGAGACTGTAAAG